TCTAGTTTTCTGGAAAACTAAAAATATATTTGTCGGTAAACAACTCGTTAATTAGAACACGTAACTACGACTTTATGAGAGTGTTTGTCACTTTTAGTCCTTTATTATTATGTCAATGATACTTTGATACTCAATTTTGAAATTTTTCACTTTTTATCCTTCGACTATTGTGTATAGTGAAATTTTTCACTTTTGACACTTGGTTTTGAAATTTTTCATATTTTGTTTTTTGACTTTCATAACATTGACACTTTTGCCCCTTCAACTATTATAATAGTGAGTTTTATAGTCATCCACTTATTGTCAAGCACTCAAGCATTTTGTAGTTCAATGACATTAATGTAACACTTCTAAGAGGGAGGTCAAAAGTTCAAAACTCATCTCAATTAAAGATGTTGGCATTTAACATTAAAGTACCAAACAGATACTATAAGAGGCTAAAAAAATCAATCGAAAAATATTCATCCACTTGACAAAATCATAGTAGAGTGACTAAAAATGTTAATTTGATCGTACTTACTAGATTAAATGTGAAGAATTTTGAAGTAGAATACTAGAAGTGTCTCTCAAAATGAATTTATCAATTACTCGTATAATTGATCAAGAAATATCAATTTATCAAATGTTTTTGGGAGTGAGTATGAGTGTATTACTTGAGAAAAGTTAGACAAAAAACACTAAAGAGTCTTAAGTACTCCGTATTCGTCACAACTAATCACCGAAGAAGTTTAGAACGGTAGTTTCTTGCATATTTGCATTGTTCGGCAAAATCCAAATCTGACAATAAATCTCAATTCCTAGGGTTTTCTGGGAACCGGTAGTTTGATTAACACGGCAGGGCAGCTCTTCTTTCCAATCCTCTTAACTTCAAGCGGAATTGGTCCGAATTATCTGGCTAGCTCGATTACAACGTTATTGAAAGATGCCTCAAAGACACTCGAAGAACAACAACGATCTCGCCTTCTTCACCTACGATGAGAAGCGGAAGCTCGGATATGGAACGCAAAAGGAGCGGCTTGGAAAGGATTCTATCAAGCCCTTCGACGCCTGTTGTCTTTGCCTGAAGCCTTTCATCGACCCGTTGTGTTGCCAGAAAGGTCACGTCTTTTGCAAGGAGTGCATTCTGGAATGCCTCTTATCACAGAAGAAAGATATCCAAAGGTACAAACTGTTGCACATTATATTGGAAATTTGATTCAAGTTTTATATCTGCTGCTAATTGTATCATCGTTTACCAGTATAGTTCTACATGGATTGGGATGAAATTCTTGAATTCAAGATTAATTTAAAAAGGTCTTCCTTTCAATTTCAGTAGATACAGGCAGAATGAATGGATTGAAATCTTCAATTTGAAATTTTGATCTTCCTTTTGGTTCCCACTAGCTGATTGTGCAAAAGCTATATATTGAGTGTGCAGTTACCTTTTAATTAATTAAAGAGTATCAGATAAAGTCTTTGGACTAACCTTATGCACCATACCTGATCACTTGAATGCTGAAGTGTCACTATTTGTACAATATGCCCTATGTTTTATCAGACCAGCAATGCAACTGGACAATTCATTTTTCCCCTTCATGTGTTTTACATAGATTGAATGGGGGGAATAAAATTATACGTAGTATTTTCAGTTAAAAAAATACTTCCAACCTTTTTTCATTATTGTTCACTTCAGCGTGTGGAACAAAAAAAACTAATATTTGGGAAATTACTGGCCCATAGGCAAAAACATGGATACCCACATATTACTATCTCTAATTCTATTTAGATTTTAGAAGCTAAGCATTCAAATGTCCCTACCACTGATAACACTTTTTATCTGGACCGGAAGTTAGGAGTGACTATACATGGTTGTCTAGAATTAAGGTGTTACCGAGTTGGAACATTCCAACGCTTAGCTTCTAAAACCTAAAGAAGATATAATGCTGGGAAGTTCGAAAACTGACATCATCAGATTTTGCTTTTACTTCTTAATTATTTATTTTCATGCCACAAGGCAAACTTTAGATAGTTGTTATAGCAACATCCCATTGGAAAACAAGTAAACAACTATAGAAAAATTAATTGATTGCAGCATTACATCACCATGACTCATAAATTTGGGGATTATGAGCTTAGAACGTATTGAAGCTGGAAGTAGTGTATTGATTATGGACATAAATTGACAGTGACATGATATTGTAGAAAGTTAGCTGCACATGCTGCCCAGAAGAAGCAAGAGAAGGAAGATGAAGACGAGCACTTGATGCTGCAGAAGGCTCGGGAAATTGATGCCTTCGATCAACAAAACCATGGAGCATTACCCCACGACTATAGTGACAAAAACCTCTCCATCACAGACAAAAGTGGTGGGTTCCATGGAGCCAACAGTGTGAAAGCAACTGCCTTTGAAGAGGAAGCACTCCGGACCATGAAAGCCTTTTGGCTTCCATCAGCCACACCAGAGGCACCCTCCAAAGTCGATGCCCCTTCTGGAAACACCCTTTGCCCAGAAGGGAATGAAAAGATCAAGATGAAGAACCTATTCCCCATACACTTCACAGAAGATGGGAGCGGAAAGAAGAAGGTCAAGAGTATTGATAAAACATACATATGTCCTAGCTGCAAGGTCACTCTGACAAACACCCTTTCCCTTGTTGCCCTTAATACGTGCGGGCATGTTTTCTGCAAGAAATGTGCGGGGAAATTTGTTGCTGTAGACAAGGTCTGTGTGGTCTGTGACAGGCCATGCAAAGACAGGAATTTGGTGGACCTGGAAAAAGGAGGGACCGGGTTTTCGGGCCATGGGGATCATTTGGAAGCAAGAAACTTCAAGCATTTGGGGAGTGGGTCGGGGTTGGGTTTAGTGAGACCTGCAATGAAGACGTGATCATGCAGACATGCAGTCCAGGGCTCTCCTTTCCCTTGGTTTTCTCATTTATTGTTTTGATTGCACATTCAACTAAACCGTTCTATAGTGGAAGTATGGAACATTTTACTGTGTTTGTTTGACAAAGGACTGTGTGCAAGTGTCAAATGAAAGGGAAGTTAGAATATGAAATATTGTATGCACCTGCTATACCGAGTATGTCAAGTTGTATTTCTAAAACTCTCTAGATCGTGCTATATGTGTTTGTATGGTTATTATTTGAATTAGGGGTGGATTCGGGCTGGGTCGGGTCCGGGTTGGGCCTAGGCCCGGGCGGGCCGGCGGTTCTGAATAGGTGGACTCGGGACCGGCCCGGGTAGCCACCGGGTCCGGGCCGGCCATGCCTCGGGCTTGGTTAATTTTATTTTTTGCTTACCTACCTGTCCGGCCTGTCCCTGACCCCTCTCACCCCATCCCCCCAAACCCCTCCTAAACATCAAGCCCAACTCGGGTGAAGCCCAAAAAAAATGAAAAAAATGAAAAAAAATCAATTTGGCCTGAGCCGGGCCCAGCTGGGCCGGGCCTCCTTTTTATCAACCTGAGCCCGCCTTGCTCAGCCTAAATAACCGGGCCTTAGACCGGTTTTGGGCCTGAAGAACCGGGTCGGGCCAGTCCTGCACAGTAGCGGGCCGGGCCGGGTGGCCCGAACCGAGTCCAAGACTAATTTGAATATAAAACACGAATATAAAACTCAATAGGAAATATTACTAAAAGTCTAGATCCATACTACATTTTCACTCGGATCGTCCATATATAACAAGTTGAGAACATAAATATCTCCAAATTAAATAACCAGGGTCATTTTTAATTGATTGATTTTGTTATCCTTAATTGACAATCATACCAAGTAATGAGGTATTTTAAGTAAACACTCATTCTAAAGTACATGTATCCATAATTGAAGTTAATATTTGTAAAATTATACAATGATTTGTAGTGAAGTATCAAATGACCGGACCAGATTAAATCATACCAAAAAAATTCAGCTCAATTAAAAACATTCTCAGGACCAGTGCGTCTAAGTGTAGTGACTTGACAAAACACAAAAGCATCCTTCTTAATTCAAAGGCAACTAAAGGCAAATAAGGGTGATAACTGAACTTCCAGAATTGCTTGGTAGAGGATGAGTACAAAATCGAGTATTGTAAAGGGTTGAAGACAATAAAAGTGTATAGTCAAGCAACTAAAAACTGGCATTGACTTAATCTTTTACCATGTTTTATTTTATTGGTTCAGAAGAATGACAACATTGTCAAAAATGTGCCTTTTGTTTTCCCTTTATATTGTGTTTTGTGATTCAATAATCCTCAGGGTTTCAAGAAAACTAGTTGGGTGAGATGTGAATTCCACCATGAGTGGTTTGAGAAGGGAAAGACGTGTTTGCTAAAGAATATCAAGAGAAAGAATAATGTTAGATCAGCTCATCTAGTGACAACCCATGATCAAGAAAAGCTTCATCAATTCCATGAAGAAGTGAATGAAATGGAGAAGGAAATCAAAGAAATGCATGCTGAGAGGAAGCTGATTGTGACAAGGGTGGAACGTCTCCAAGAACAACATGAAGTTCTGAAAAAACTATTGGCCATTCTGATAAAATTAGCACCAGGCGGTCTTGAGGAGAAGAGACAACGACTTCCATATTTAGTCTCCATCTTTCACTTTATTCATTTTTGGTACCTGACTATTGTTTTCTTGAACATTTGTGGTCCATTTCTGAGCATTTTTACTATCGGAAAAGGACTATAAATGGTTACGAAAACAATAGTCAGGTACCAAAAATTGATAAAATGAAAGACGAGAACTAATTGTGGAATTGATGCAAAACTCGAAGGACCATAAGTGGAATTTCTTCTATATTTAAGCATACTTTTATGTATCTTCAAATTCTTTCTAGTCTGAGACTAGGACAAATTTAAGTGTGTAGTTCCTTGGTAGTTGGTATCAAAACCTAGCATTGCAGTGCAACACGAGTAGACTGATTTAAGATGGGGAATCCAGATGCACACCATATAATTGGACACGAGTCGGAAGGGCTAAGGTTAATTCTTCAATCATTTGAGTAACAATCCCTAAAGAGTAACTAGATTAATAATAATGATGATAATAAATAATGAACAAATCTAAAACGCAAAATATTTAATGATGGAAGTATGAAATAATGGAGTGAAACTTAAAAAAGGAGAGTAGCACTGCCATAGTACACGGTACAATTGTTGATAATCTCTTGTTATTGCAATCTCAAAACTAACTGCAAAATTTGGGCACAACCAGCCAATTTAATCGAGCGCGAGCAGTTTTTTTTAAAGAATTGAAAAGGAAAAGGTAAACACCAAAGAATTTCCAATTTTCAATGATGAGTAGAATCGACTGAAACCCCATCAGGATGGCACGTAAAAACTGTGTAACAACAACAAACTCCCACATCAGAGCTGGCTTGAGTCTCTGCCGAAGATGAAACGCCTTATCCAATCTGACACCACCAGTGCTCTGGTACGCCAGCTCACTTGCATGCTGAAAATATACCGATATTGTTAAGATTTACGGAGTAAAAAAGATACTCCGTATTATTTTATGCACTTTAGACCAAATTTAGTCATCCAAGTAAAGGGTATTTTTATTTGAGTCCAATTTACACAGCTAGGGACAGTTTATCAAAGGAGACGAAACAAACCTGGCATAAGCAGAGTACCAAAGAAATTGAGGGCCATGGCCAATTGAAACCCAGTCTCCAGGAAGCTGTGCGGCCGTTTGCTCTCCTCCCAGAGGTGCAAATTGTCCTCGATGGTTATACATGAAAGGATGGAAACGGTGGCGCCCTTCTCCCCTGAACCGAAGGGGACCCTCTGGATTCTTTTCGCACGCCTCCATGCGGTTAAAGCAGTTTGCAAGATAAATGCCTTGCTGAGATGCAACCTGGAGTTACAACAATAGTATTTTGTAACTATGAGGATCAATCTTAGATCACTAAAAGAAGCAAAAAAAATAAATGAAGAAATTGAACAAGAGTTTTTATTAAGAGATGGATAGAGATGATCAAAGACTACATAGTCTTTTTTATTATGTTTGATGAATTCTTTTACTTTAATAGTTTAATCTATCATCCATTCATCCGTCAAGATATTCTGCGTATAATAAATAAAAATAAAGAAAATCGAAACTCATGATTACAAAATGAAACTTGGAGACAGAACCTGAGCGGTTGGAGGAAGAATCTTCATCAGAGAATCGACTTTGGAGAGAACTGACTTGAACTCTTCAATATTAACCTCAACAGACGAATTAACATCCCCACCTTTTTCCTCTTTCAGCAAATCAAGTAGATTACGCATGTGTTTATTTTTCAGGTAGAGCCCCACTTGTGGGTATCTTTCACATACATCAGCTAGGACATCTTGAAACTCCTTAACTGTTAGTGTTCCAGAGTTATCCTTGTCCGCCTTGTGAAATATGGCCGCAATATCCTCCTACAGAGAGTTCCGATTTCACACAAGACAAAATAAATAAGCAGATCGATACACAGGTACTTCATACAAGACACATTAAATTAAACACACATAATGATACACCGGTATGAAGTGTTTGTATTAGATGCAGAACTGACTTTGCTCCTTCGAGGAGGACAAAGGAGCACTTACAGGCAGAATAGAAATCAGAATTTTGAAGTGTTTGGGCAAAAGCTTCAAAATTAGTTTTTGTTCTTTAAATAGCTAACTCTGATTCTCGAATGTTAATGAATAAAGTAAACTCTATTAAATATAGGGAAAATGAAAACTAATAATCAAACCTTTTAGCGGTCTTACAATAGTCTCACCTTTTGATTATTCATTAATAATCCAACCTTGCACCCAATCTTCATTCACTGGTCCCTGACAGATTTATGACCTGTTATTCCAAGTTATTTTCTTATCTTTGTAAAACATTATACCATAATTCACACCTTATGATCACATGATGTTTTACAAAGATAAGAAAATAACTTGGAATAACAGGTCATAAATTGGTCAGAAACCATTGAATGAATATGAGGTGCAAATGTTGGATTATTCATGAACAATCAAAAGGTTGAATTATTAGTTTCCAATTTGCCTTAAATATATAAGGAGTATAAATAAGCACAAACAATACAAATATATGTGCAAATATTTAAACGCGAACAAAAAAACATATGCTACAATCTTGCTTAAACTTTTGCTAGATAAAAAATATATACGCCAATATAAAACATATGCAAAGGTATTTTTAATGTTATCGTTTTTAACCTCGAAGACATATAAGTAATATATATACACTTTTGTTCAAATAAAAATGGTTTTCAATGTAAAAAATAAGAACTAATCAAGTTCATTGATCATTTTATGTAATAAAATTGATGGATGAGAAGAGATTTTAAATTAAAAACATGGTAACATTTTGAAAGGGATGGGATCTTCTACGGGGTGACGAACGAGGTCTTCTCGTGTATTTTAAAGTTCAGCGTGTAAAAATACATCGTTATACAAATATCAATAACATTGTAACGAGTCGTAGTACGTGAGTGCAATGCACCTTTATGTTATACCGATGGACTTTTTGCATTTTAATTGGACATTTAGAATCAAAACTTTATACCGATTATATAAATGAAAAGCCAGTCTAATTCATGCATTTTGAAACAATATGCTCCAGATTCATTTGAACTCATCAATATTTTTTTCCACTTGAACTCATCAATATTTTTTTTACTTGAACTCATCTATGTGTGTGTATATTACCTAAATATTCAATTATAATTTATACATACATATATATTCTTGTAATATTACCTAAATACACTCTTTTGGTCACTTTATAGAACAATCGTACTAAGAAAAAACTCAAAAAGTTATCAGAATTCTTAGAAGTGATTCTGTATTTTATACCACATATGAAATGCCAAATGCTATACCGCTAAATACTGATTTCAAAAAAGAGGTAATATAAGAGACAATGCCACACCCCCTCATATGCAGAGCACAAACCACTATAAGGGTATGCTTTTATTTCAGAAAACGATGGGAGGAAGGAAAAGATTGGTAGTATAGTGCATGTGGTTTTATTTGCAATGACAAATGAAAATAAGATGAGAAATTTACATATATTTAGAATATATTGTCATAATATCAGTAATCAGTAATAAGAATAAATAGAGTTAACATGTATCACATTGTGTATCAGGGTATCTTTGATTTTCCCTGAGATTTTTATTCATTCCAAATCTCGTCTAAATACCTTTTAGGGAGTATTATACTTCCTTTATTTGCCTAGCATATTTCTAGTTGCAACAGGATCCAAAAGAATTGCTTACCACAACTTTGCGCCTATTTATTGTAGCGGTGTCCCCAAGTGCATATACATTTTCACATCCTTCAACCCTTAGCCAATCATCAGTAGCAAGTACACGCCTTTGGCCCTAGAAATGTGCAGAACTGAACATGTCAAATATATTGATATAGCAAAGTAGCATAAAGCTTATCATCTTGGTAAAAAAGACAATAACAAGCAAAAAATAAGCATACCTGGCCAATCTCTTTCATGAAGTCCATGATCACAGGGCGAATTCCAATGCCAGTAGACCACACAGCCGTGCCATAAGGTGTAGAGGTAATCTCCCCAGTTTTTGCATCTTTAGTAGTGATTTCTTTATCTGAAACCTTCACAACCATTGATCCAGTCTTGACATCAATTCCATCTCTCTGGAACTTCTCTTCAGCAAAAGCTGTGATTCTTTTGTCAAACCTAATGTAAAACAGTTTGAGGACAGGAGTTAAAAAAGAGAGCACATAAATGGGAATATTACATATATTGTGATTGCAAAGAAAATTACATATTCAATATGTGGTCGGTTGCCTCAATCAGTGTTATCTTCACATAATCCTTGACCTCTGGGTATAACCTGGCTGCTTCTTCGTTCACAAAATCATGGAGCTGTCCTGCAAATTCAACGCCAGTTGGGCCACCACCAACAATGACAAAGTGAAGGAGTTTTTTCCTCTCTTCATCACTGAGGTTAGGCAGACTGGCTTTCTCAAAACTCTCAATAACAGCTCTTCTAATTCTTTGAGCATCTTCCACTTCCTGCATATACATGTAGTTTCAAATTTATCTTTCAAGACATGTGGTGCATCAGAAACTTTTGTTTATGAAAAATGTGCTTGTTTTTACCTTTAAGAAGTAGGTATGCTCTAGTACACCAGGAATATTGAATGTGTTTACACGAGCTCCAATGGCAATCACAAGGTAGTCATAATCTAAATCAAATTCTTCCTTCCCATCCGAACTCTTGTTCACATCAGATCGACAATAAACCTTCTTGCTTTTTGGGTCAATCTTGACACACTCTGCTTCACAGTAATGCATGTCTACATTTTTCTGCACTCAGTTTTTCCAATCACAGATTTTTTATGAGAAAAAGAAAGTGATGATTAATGTTCCAGACAGGGTAGGGTGCAATTAGTTGGCTTGTTGATGCTCAATTTACCTTTCTGATAATGTTACGAATTGGTTCAATGATGCTGCGGCTCTCAACAGTGCCACATGTTACACTTGGAAGCAAAGGAGTAAATGCAAAGTAATTCCGGGGCGATACCACCTGGACATCATATGAAGGATCATTCAGGTTCTTCAAGAAATTAGTTGCAGCCCAACCAGTTCCCAGTACCACCAACTTTTTCTTGTTCTGAACCTCCTGCTGATACGGAGTTGTTGCAACAGAGTATGTGACAAGGCCCACACCACTACCAAATGAAGAAAGTGCACATAAAAGTTCAGATTTGCTAGTAATGCTTCAAGCTTCGAAAGAAAGCACGGTATAGATCTACTAAAACGGAGATTTTCATTGCCTTCAATATAAAACTAATTCAGCATTCACACTTAATTTTTTTGCTTAATATGGATTTATGACCATGTCGAGGCCCAACGAGGCTCGATCGGATTCCAACAACCGACTTTCGTCGTTAACAAACATAGAAGTACAAATGCATTAACGACATATCAGATCAACAATTCAAAAGATAAATCGCCCCCTAGAAGGTTAGTCAGGACGAGATTTGAGCATATAACCAGACACTAATGCTCAATGGTGCACATGCATAAAATTTAATCGTGAAACAGAGCATGGCTATGGATCTAACAACAAATCCGGAACAAAAAAACGAATATCAGAAACCACACCTCACTGTGCAAACAATGAACACCTTAGAAAGCTTAGGATTTTCACGGTAAATCCTCGAGAACCTCTGAATCAGCGCTACTCTCTGCATTTTGGCCTTTAAATCGATTTTCAAAGGCCAAAATTACGAACTCAACTTCGGAGTTCCAAACCTTCTGGCTGTACTATTATTCTGCGCGAAGAAGGAGAAGTCGGTGTGCGGCGGTCTTTATGAGAGAATGCGGAACGAAAGCGTAGGAACCTAAAAAGAACGGAAAAGGAAAAGACTATTTGTGCCCAAAGAAATAGGAGAATCCTTCGCGAAGCGTGTTTTCTGTCCAGCTTTTTTGGAGCGGCTACTATACAGGCTAGTTTGACTTGGCGCCCAAGAAAAGAGTTACCCTAGTACGTAGAGCTTTTTACACATAGATATCTTCTTATACACATCAATATACCTCTGTGTCGGTTAGAGTTTTTTTCTGTGAATCCCACTCCACAGACAAAAATTTTGTCCGTAGAATTTTTCACAGACAAAACAAGTCAATTTTTGTCTGTAGACTGGAATTCAAAGACAAAAAAACTCTCACAAACACGGAGTGTACTGATGTGTATAAGAAGGTGTACAACAAGAATTATTGATTTTGTTCACCCCTTTAACTCTTTAAGGAAGGTGAACATCACCTCCTTCCCTCATTTGTTGCCATGTGGCTTCTCATCCCCATTTTTTCTTTAAATTAATTGAACTTTTTATTTATTGGTCAAATTTTATAAAAAAAAATCAGTTTTAATAACTTTTTATGTTCTTTCTAATGGTATCCATATTGCATACATAAAAAATTGAACAAAAAATCTTTTATTCTTACATCTATTTTAAGTCGATTTTTTTTTTAAATTTTACATATACAATTTTGGTATCATATGAAAGATCATAAAAAAACGTATAGCAATTGCAAAATTTAAAAGCATTGTCATGCCTTGTGGCAGCCCAATATGGGTGGGGTGATGTTCACCCTCTTTTGAGGGGACGAACAAAATTGTTCTCCCTTTGGTAGGTTCGGACATTTGGTATGTGGAAAGTTCAAATATTTCATGTTCTCCACGGTGGTTTCAAAATACGCTTAAAAACTCAATCGGTACTGAATTGGACCGTAATGATATTGAATCGAGTAACATTATTTATACAATTCTATATGATTTTATCCTGAATCAAAATTGTAGTGTTTTAAATGAGTAGTGGATCGGTTCTATATTTTGAACACCGAAAAACACCGATCCAATCAAAAATAATGCATTTGAGATTTTTATATTTTTTCATACCAATAAATATCTTTTATAGACCAATAATTTTATAGTCACATGTATGTATTCACGCATCCCTAAAATAGCTAAATATGTGTGTGTTTATATAAAAATTGTTATTTTTTCGTTTTAGATAATTTATGTTATATTTGGTACATATTAAAAGAATGCCAAAGTTCAAAAAATCATTAATGAATTTCTAATAATGTAGTGTATATGACTTTTTTGTTGTATCATACGGAGTATTTGTGTAGTCTCACAACTTAATTAATATGTTTTGAATTTTAGCTCTTCCGATTCAACTATGAATTAAATTGGAACTAATATTCAACCTAGAACATTGAAGAAGGATGAATTTTTCTATTATATTCAACAATTCGATGATATTCTTTTTATATTTTCACATGAATTAAAAATATATGATATTTATGTGATGTATCATCATTTTTCTATATTTTTCTTTTATTGTGTTGCACTGTTTGATTATTTGTGAATTTAAATACAAAAATGTTAGCATCTTTCAATCTTTACTAGTATTTAGTATGCACTTTATTGTATTTTTATCAACATTTCATGTGACTTGGCCGGTGTGGTGATATCTACTCATTGTAAAATTGGCCCAAATGTTTAAGCATGTGCTTTACATTGTACCGAACTGTTTTGTGTCGTTCCGAAACAACATTGTACCAAATGGTCTCATCCTTAGAACCGGACCATACCGAACCGTTAGAAACCTCACGGGTACATTACGAGTTTTTCTAATTTACCAGACCATTTCGAAACGCGCCTACCCCTAGAAAATATAATTATTATACAAACATACGAAAAGAAATTGTGTTATTATTAATAAAAGTGTGTATACTTTTATTCTTTAACTAGGAGAAAAAGTTTTTGATACTTTTAATTCACAGCTATTGTGTGTAACACCTTTAAATTCAATTTTTAATTTTTTTCATTTTTAGTCTTTTGATTTTGTGCGATAAACTCTTTTAATCAATCATCGACTTCAATGTTTTCCATATTTATAGGGAGAATGCTCCAAGCGAACATAATCTGGCTTTGTAGATGAAGCCACGATTGAAAAACGTGTTAGGACAGACTATATATCCCTAAGTATTATCAAATTGACACTTTTAGTTCTTTCATTATGATTTTGGAACAACAAGTTGAGAACTAACAATGTGAATATCATAATAGTTGGACCAAATGTTTCAAATTATCAAAGTCGAAGGTTCAAATATGTAGATAAATTCAAAGATGGTACCAAAAGTATTTTTCACACAATAATCCAAGAGCTAAAATGGAAATATTCAAAGTTGAGTGGCGAAAGTGTCACCAACATTATAATGTTTCCAAAGGTATAAGGCATTTATGGTAGCAGAGGAAAACCACTTGCCTTGACGCTTTAGGTACTACATGGAAGAGGGCCGGCCTCGACAAATAAAAGGCAATGTGCATAATAAAATAGGATCCTAATATGCTTTTTAGAACTTAATGTCAGGCAATTCAAAATGCAACCCTTAATTTTACTAAACACAATCCCTAATTAAAATTAAATATAACTAAACGCCTATTATATCATTGTTGTTATCCCAACATCATCCCTATTGCGTCTTTGAAGGCTCTTGCTATAACATATCATCATCTCAAGTGGCCAGATCGATCGATTAAAGTTGAAAATCACTCCAAACTACTATTATTGCTATTTTCTAGCATTTCTAAAAACAAAATGTCCAAGAAGTGATATAGCACAAACAATGCTTTATTGGAAGGAAGAAACATTATTGTTTGTAAAACTAAGAAGGGGTTTAACTCTTCATTTGGAGACTAAATATGCTAGAAAATATAAAGAAAATGGTATTCTAAACTGGGTTTAAGTATATCAAAGAAAGGATATCCAATTAGGAAGAAAGGGGTGTATTTATAGGTGATAGAGTATATCTCTAGAGAGAAGTGAGAGCTAGAGAGAGAAGTGCAATGATATGCTTCAATAGAATGATTTTGTAACCCCTATAACTACTCCCAAGGGGAGTATTTATAGAGAAAATTAGGGTTGGGCTCCCAAGCCTTGGGCTTGGGAGGCCCATTTACAATTGGACCGCTACTGGGCCGAATACAAAGCCACTAATGGGTTGTACAAATGAGTAAGTATAAAATCCGATTCTGTGAGGTCTTCGTGGCCGACGAGGGCATGGCCGACGAGGGCGTGGCCGACGAGGGCACGGCCGACGAGGGCACCCGGGTTCCTTGGACTCAGGACCATAATCCGAGTTGGTCCCTTTCCGACCGACGGGGGCGTCTTGGCCGACGAGGGCACCCGGGTTCCTTGGACTCAGGACCATAATCCGAGTTGGTCCCTTTCCGACCGACGGAGGCGTCTTGGCCGACGAGGGCGCCACTCTGTTGTCTTGTGCCTTCTGCTCTTCTGAGTATGTGGGTCCGGGGGCTTAGACCCATATACTCCATCAGGAGTCCCCCACTCTCTAAGCTGAGACGTAGACGAAGTGAAGGAGAGTAGATTCCTGTGCTTTGTTGCCCTTGGCCGTTACCTGTTCCTTGTTGTGGACAGGGAGGCCGTTGTTTACCTGATGTCTTCGTTTTGGGACGATGAGTGTCCTTCATTCAATGGTGGCCGTTGAAGGCATGTTTTGCTTGGGCGCTGATGGTTGAAGTTTGCGTTTGGGCCGATGAGGCCACTGAAGTTGGTCCTTGCTTCGAGGACGGTGGCGTCTTTCCCTTTGGATGGCCGATGAGGGTGTTTGCACACTCCTTCTGGCCGTCGTTGATTACCTTTCATGTTTCTGGCCAAAGAGCCCCTCGTGATTAAGTGATGGCGGAGGACGAGGAGTGTCCTTGCCTTTGGTGGCCCGTTGGCCGTTGCAGATGACGTTGTGTGCCTTTGGTCGACGAGGTGCAGTGTGATGCGTGGCCGATGTGGCCATGCTCTGTGGTTACCTTGTTTGCATTTTCTTTCGTTTTGTTGAGGCCGGTGTAGTCCCCCAGTCCCCCACTGCTTCAGGCCGAAGAGTGTGAGGGGTGAAGGAGTTGCTTGAGCCCCCGGCCGAAGCGGTCTCGCCGTAGTCCCCCTGAATCCATCCCTCATGGCGATTTTCTGGCCAAGGTAACCCTGTGGGAGAACCCTTGTGCGCAGATCGCTTGTAGAGGGTTATCATCAAGGGTTATTACGAGGAGCCGATGGCTTGTGGGCTCTTGGGTCCTTTGATCTTGTGGCCGTTACGTTCCTGGCCGTTGCCGTCTCCATATTGTTTGGTAGTTGTGATCTTGGATAGCAAATGGGACGTTGTGGGCGCTAGCTGACATTTGTAAAGCCGGTGAGCGTGTGTAGGCCGTAGAGTCCGTCTTGCCGGTGGGCTGTTGATATTGAGTTAGGCCCGTAGTAGTAGTTATGAAGAGCTTGAACGAAGACTACTACCCCTACGACGACCAGCCCTCCACGAGGTCGCATGACTACGAGGTGCTCGAGGAGTTTGAAGAGGAGATAGAGCGTTTAAGTCCCTACAAATCCTGAGAGCCGGTGGACGAGGAAGGCGAGGATGAGGAGTCCGCCTCTTCTTCAAGAGGTGATGATGCATGTGCGTCCCGAGTGGTGGATGGGGCGTCCACTTCCGCTGTCATTCCGTGCCCGAGGCCGGTGTCCGCCGTTAAGGGAGCCGTCAAGCCGAAGAGAGTGAGGAGGCCGAAGAGTGGACCCGGCATCTCCTATCTGGATCTCACCAATATCTACTTGATCAAGCCGGAGAGCAGTGCGGCCGACTATCTTGTTGCCCAGATGTACGTGGGGTCGTTCGGGCGGGTTAGGGCACCCAGGCCGGCGGACCATGTTCTTCTGCCACCGCCGGGATACTTTGGAGTATACCCGATGAGTTTTGCTAAGGGGTTGAGGTTCCCCCTTCACCCTTTCATTACTGAGTACCTAGACATGGTAGGGCTTCCTCCGGCCTTGCTGACGCCGAACAACTACTCCTTGATGGTAGGGTTCTTGCTCCGGTGTGAGGAGTTGGGCTACAAGCCGACAACGACACTAT